AAAGACGCTAGTGTAAACCATGGTAAAGCGTGCAACAACTACGCGGACGCTGTGCATATAAAAGTAATCATCATTTTGATGTAACTTTTAACTATATTAGTAAAGTAATAATATTTTAATCGAGAAATATACCATAAAGAACTAAACACAACAATTTTTTAACAAGCTCGCCTAATTAACAGTCGTTGAACTGTTTTAAGACTGAGAAAATCCAATTCAGCCTAAAGCTTTACCTCAAGTATCTCTAATGAACCGACTCAATATTACTGAGTATGAAATTTTCACCTGACAGTGTCCAGAATTATTTTACAAGTTTTTGGGGTTTTTTTTTAAATATATACATAATGGCCTAGGTGATTTCAAGGTGATTTCAACGGACTTGCCTGGTGTCACTCCATCAAGTACTATATAACAGAATTACAAAAAAAAAAAAATACAGTACATGAAAATTGCAAAGTCGGCCTGATTTAGTCTGTTCATAAGAGATAATAATAAATGCAATTCCCTCGAGCCCCAAAGCACCGGTTTAGCGGTATTCAATCTTCAACGTGAAATGTGCTAGAATCAAAACTCCCAATGGACCATACTGAAGTGAAGTTCATACAGTAAAGTCATCCAAACTGTTTATGTAAGACATGTTACTTTGATATAAGCAATTAATCTAAATACTTCCATAAAAACCTCGCACGCATACATGTGAAGGAAAACATGCAATAAACGGGAAAAAATCACATGAGCAAGCGTCCTTGTTTCTCGTTTTTGGTATGCGTGTAAAATGTAAAATGTCGTTAATTCATTTACTGAAATGACCGCCCTGAAATTAAAGTACATTATTAAAACATAGTAATCAAATGACATCGAATTTAGAAATCATTACGCGAATTAGACGTATATTTTTATGCCGGCTGATTGACAAGTTTGTTCCATATTCTGTCGCGCTTACTTTGTAGCGTATTGTAACTACTGTTTAAAGAAGAAAAGTCAATAACATACTAAAAGGCTTTTTTCCAAGAACCATAATTCAGCTAAATATCATTCAACTGAAAACCCTATTAATTATGCGTACATGAGCTACCAATGAATACTGTAAAGTTTCAAATTGCATAACTGGTATAAGAGCAGAAGTTCGGACTTTAAAATAAAACTTATTAAAGGATTATTACTTGGACAAAAATCCAGGAACTGGAAAATTCCGACGAAATGCAAACCAGGCTTGGTACGGATCATTCATGTAAAGATTGGATGAAAATGCAGCAGTAGTTTTAATCCGGACATGTCTTGTGACGGACGGACAGACAGACGTCGGAGAAGTAATCCCTAGATGTCGCCGCTACTCTGAAGCAGGCGACACAAAAGAAACCAGCAAAACAGGACCATCAGCAAAAGGGCCCAGCAGGAAAAGAAAGTTATCACTGCTTTTAATAATTAAACAAATGGCATATCGAATAGAAAAGCACGTTCAAAGCACAATGACACAAAATTACAACACCAAAGGTCAGCAAAAAAGAGCAACCCGAAGCTGCCTTTAAGGATGCTATGTTTATTTTTTATGATGTATCTTTGGGTGGATGCCTTCTTTGAATGCTGCCTTTGCTTATTGATCTTGTTCTCTTCTATATTTTACTTTGAAATTCATCTATTTGAATGAAGGATGTAATATAGGACCTTGGCAAAATTGAAATGTTGTTGGTAGGTTGGTTGAGCCTATTAATTGACAGAATGTTGAATGCATTCTACAATTCAAGTACCGGCTGTTTTTGTGTGTGTGTGTGTGTTTTTTGTTTGTTTTTTTTCGATTTTTTTGGGTTTTTTTTTTTTTGTTGTTTTGTTTTGGTTTTTAGTTCTTTATGGATTTCGTTTCTCTCTATTTTATCGGAAAACAACAGTTGACTATGTTGATTAAACCTGTTCATGGAGTAGCAATTGCAAGATAACGTCCACTCTCCCTAGCAGAAGCATAAGATGAATTTAATATTTAGAAATATCCGCAGATTAGTTCATACGGCATCTGTCACGGAACTTTCATTGTGACACCTTCAAAATGTCTGTGTCATTCAATGAAAAGAAACATTTAGCCCGTAAGTTAGATAATGTACATACTCTTTATGCATCAGCATCGTGTAACATAAAAATTTGATTTCATATTGATGCTGTTTTGTTTGTTTGTTTCATTTTACGCTTTTTCCAACAGTATTTCAGTCATATAGGCGGGTAGTTTCCTAATCATTGTTCCAGGAGAGTTAAACCTATACTACCTTCCTTCGCGCTAAACTACTAAATCATCTCTCGGGGATCGAACCCAGGCCAGAGAGATAACTGGATTAGAAGTCATTGACTCTAACCCCTCGACCACAGAGGCGGTTCATATTGATGCATAGCAAAACAAACACTATATTTTTTTATTTTTTTATTTTTCTTGTTTGGATATTTTCCTCTGATCAGGTTCCACAGTATAATTTGTTGATGGCTGTGTATTGACAATGATTGGTGTCATTTCAAAGACATTAACTCTGTCGAAGTTTCTGCGTGATATGACCACCATTACAAGCATAACAATATTCACGAATCCCATAATAAAAAATGAAACTCGTGGGTCAAAAGAAACAGTGGCACTGTAAATGGACATGTAAACAACAGATCCGACAAGTTTGGCGACAGTTTCAGTAATGGAGTAAATTGAATATATTTTGCCTAATTCCCCCTGTTCCACACATTTGCCTAGTATTGAGCGCAGACAAATGGTGAACGAATGAAATGACCATACTGCTAGAAGTGCAAATAAAATCCAAGTGTCTTTGCAAAAGCCTGTAGCAACGTACCGAATTATTTTACACAATAATCCAAAAACGAGAAGGCTGAAGTCTGATACTTTAAACTTTTTTGAAAGAATTGGTACTATTAGTAATAAGACAACGCCAATTACTATACTTTCGGAAGCTAGGAAATAGGAATATAAGCTAGTTGTCCAATTAAAAGGGTTTCGTGTAACAAATAATAGAAAAATGTCTAAAGTTCCTTTAAGATCGCAACCGTTTGCAAATATCAGAAATATCAAAATTGCAAGGAATAAAGTTTTCACATTCGTTCTTTCTCTTGTGAACACATAAAAGTACGATCGTAATCCTTCAAATGAAAGACAGGGTTTTCTAATTGGTTGTTTTTGGTTACCAGTAATTGATTGCTCGATGCAGTTTCCATTTAATTTACAATTTTGTGCTTCCATTTTTTTCAAATCGACGATATCCTTCAAATTTTTCTCACTGGCTGATTTATATTGCTGTTGATTTTCATGAATTTTAGATGCATTTTCTTCTAACGCGCGTTCCGTGTTCTTTACAAATACCAAAATGACAAGCACTGCTGCACCGCCTATGCCTATCACTGTCAAATAAGGAACTAACCCTTTTTTGATCACTCCAGCCAACAAAGCACCAACACATTGTCCGAAATAGCTCATTGCAAATAACATACTGGTGTGCTTAGTTATATTTCCTTCTTCAGATTCCACAGCAATTAAGCAATTTACCGCCGAATTAAAAACTGCAGCTCTGCCGAAAAAGCCTTGTACAAGAGTACCAATAAGTAAAACCCAAATAGAAATTATAGAACTCTTAACAAACATGCTTCCTATGTAAATAAGAGTTGCAACAATTGTTCCAATACAGGAACCTACCATTGGTAATCTGTGTCCATTCTGATCACTCCACACTCCAAAGAATAAACCCGTAACAATAGTGGGTAGATTTGAAGCTAAACGATACAAAAACAAATACATGCTTGCCTCTTTTTGAACACCGTCCTCTTCTTCTTGATATAAATGAAGATGTAGGCAAATTGTTCGGTTGTTTGGATACTGCTTCTGACAGATAATTTGTATTATATGCGGTCGGATGATTGTGTCCAACATTTTCTCAGCGGCTTTGAAGAGGAAGAAAACGAGTCCGATGTATACGAGTTGCATTCTAGAACACTTCATCAAATTTAATGAGGAAAAATAACAAATCAAATTTATATAATGATATTTATACATTTATTTACATATTTATACGTGTGGTATAATATTAAATATTTTCCTTTGGAATCAACATAATGTAGACAACACGTACAATTTGATTGCAATGCAGTTTTATTACACGTTCAAATGACGGTCGCAATATATTACAAAGTTAATACATATTGCAATATATATGTTAATTAAAATGTACTTATTAATAATTTATTAGTTTTTAAATCATAAAGGCCGAATCATATTATTTCTGTTTCTTATCATAAATTTAAATAGAACTGCAAAAGTGTTTAACAGTTAAACAAATTTAAAGATTGTTTTGTTGTTTTTTTTTACTGAGAATAAATGTCGCTAGAGAAGAAAGTCTTGATTTGCTATATAATTAAAACATTTATGCATGCTCGTACCAACCCGTATGCTAATCCTATGATCTTATCCCAATTATGTGTTTAGAGATCACCGTCAACGACCAATTCTCTATGTTCTTGAGAAATTTTATAGCCCCATATCCCGTACAAATCTTGAGGAGAAATTTTGAACGAATCATAAAATAAAAGTAGTTATTTTCTTCCTTAATCATTTACTTTAACAAATCAATGTCTTACGATTATATTGTCTAAATAGTTTTGGGGAAACGAATGGTTACAGGTAAATGAATTTCTACTATCAACCACTTTGTTTAAATGTGATACGGCTATCAATTTGGAACAGTTGTCAAAATGAAGGCATCGCCGGAACCCACATACACTCTTTAATGCTGGTATACGGTAAATAGCCTGGTTTACAGTGAATGTAGAACGTTGCTAGTGCAATTCTTTAGAGCATTAATTTTCACTTAATATAAATTTGTATGATACAGCAATATAATTCAGACAAATAAAAACTACGAAAGGAAGTAATATCTGCCTGGTTTATGTAAACATATAAATGCTCACATGTTTTGTTACTTGTAATTTACATTTTCATTAAGAAAATATATTGTAAAAGAATAATGATGTAAATGACGCGTTTTTACGTTGAAATTGTAATATTTGATAAACAAATATAGTCCATAACACAACCCTATAAATTATGAATTAATATTTTTGACAATCGAATTATTACGACATTTATTTCATCATAAATGTTACATGTTTGATGTTACACTAAGGTGTAAGCATTTTCAAATTGATATTACATGTATTATGTTCAATTGTCATTATTCATCTTAATCTTATCGTTAAGGTTTTGACCTTTGGTCTCTGGTAGAAATAATGTACCAATGATACATATCACAGCTATACCGCCACACACATAGAACAACAATCCTTGAAAGTAAGAGTTCTGGAAAAGAAGAATATGTTTTCACATGAAATTATGTATATACATATAATTTTGTTCGGTGAATTTTGAATATGTTTACTTACGTTAAAACTATAATTCTATGTTTTGCGTTTTATGAGATGCTATCAATTGGCAACAAATACCAAATTCCCGGTACATATTCAACTTTGTTTGTAAGTACTGCTTCTGCTTAGTATTTTAGATGATACATTTGTGTTGGATTTAAAGTAACATTATTTTCAGTGTCAAGTTGAGCTGAATTTAACTATTTATTTCAAAAGATTGACTGATATAACGGTGAAAAATGTTAAGGATAAAATGTAAATCTTCCTTCAATATAAAAGGCCCAGTCTTTTTATAAACTGAACGTTACCGAAGGATATTTATAGGAATTTTTTTGGTCCACGTGAGTTATTTATCGGTCATGTAAAGTAAATTGTAAGATTAGAAGGAACTATGGCAACATGAAAACTTATTTTGATATTCAATTGTTCACTCATTTTATGCTCTTTGATAGGCATTATGTCACTTTAAGTCACACAGACATTGCCACACAACTGGACAGCTTTACTGGTGGAGGAGGACCGTAAGTGTTCCTTCATTAATTATTTCAGATATGAGCGGGCACCTTAATATAGCCGCCCATGTTTCATAATCTAGCTAGATAGCTTCCTCATAAAGATTCTAATCATTTTTCTAACAATTGCACCATAGATTTTCGAAGTTTTTGTATATTTTACCGTTCCGATCCTTAGTTGAGCAGTGGTCTTAGTTAAAAAAATACCAAGTTGATATCCAAGCAAAAAAAGAAAAGAAACTTACCAGATAAACAAGTTGTGGTCCCAGTATGGCACCGGTTCTTCCAGTTACGCTTAATGTCCCAAATCCTATATTTCTAATAAATATTATGAAAGTACTAAATGTTATGGTTTAACTAGCATTTTTGCATGTAAAATGCTTGATGACCTTGCAGCTTTATTACGCCACAATAATATTTATATATGACTGTACGTTTCTTAAAACGCAAATTTAAGGAATGGTTTAATTCCCAAATACCGGATATAAATTATTGATAATATATGTATTAAAACAAAAGAATTGTTAGAGCTACATGTATAAAAGATTGAATATTCCACGAAAAGTAAGATTCATAAGTTTGAACTGAATGCAAAAGTTGCTTTCTAAAGGTAAAGTCCATGTACAGCCGTTAGTTCACAGTAAATACTAAAATTACTGACAGTGTTAATCGGTTAAGACATCATAACAACATATTCTACTTGTTTTGACTTTATTGTCTGTCAAACCACAGCAAGGGAATGATTAAGTGTTTGTTAAGGCGGTGTTGTCAGGATGACAGCATGCGTACATATATATTTTTATCAAAAGAATAAGCTTTAAGAAGAAATATCTTTTAACTTTTCATGAATTGTAATAAGCCCTAATAAAATGTTCTTTTCGATTACGACATTATGCCTCAAAATGGTGTCATCTGTATTTCTCAAATACTGTTCATTCTTTTTTTTTGTATTTTGTAACAGCTTCCAAAAACATACTCATTTGCGGTATACAAAGTCTATCTTTTGCATCTTCCTCTATGTTGGCAATTTATACAATTATAATGAATCAGTATTTTGAATTGAAGGCAAAATATTTCTTTCTTTACATCATTTTTCTACCATTACAATATATTTTCTTAGACTACCGAAAATCACCCATATTGTACCTTATGCTATGCATTAAAGACTACATCATAAGTGTACAATAATATGTTGATAAGAATAATTCGCAATATCAGAAAGCAAACTGCCATATAACAGTGGACCATGCAAACTGTCAAAACATTTATTCAATACGAAAAAACATGCTACCTGATAACAGTTGGATATAACTCTATCGTCATAGTCTGTACGGGTCCCCAGGCCGTCGATATACCAGCGTTGGCAATTAGGGCAAAAATGTTGATCAATGTGTCTTTGTTTTGCAAATCTGGATAGAAAATCAGTCGGATGTAACTATAAAAAATCACGACAAAAAGTCATGACAAAACCAACATAATGTGTTTGCGACCAGCATGGATCCAGACCAGCCTGCGCATCCGCGCAGTCTGATCAAGATCCATGCTGTTCGCTATCAGTTTCTCTACTTGCTATATAGGGTTTGTAAGCGAACAGCATAGATCCTGATCAGACTGCGCGGATGCGCAGGTTGGTCTGGATCCATGCTGGTCGCAAACGCACTATGTTAGTTTTGTCGAGACGCGGCTCAAATATTTCTCTTTTTCCTCTTTGCGTCTATACAAATGATTATCTCAGCTAATACTGCCTGGGAAATTTTAAACAATAAATATTTCTTAAAAAATAAAACTTCAAGAACTGCTTCAATCAGCAAAGAATACACAATACTGTTCTTACCTAAGGTTTGAACAATTCCAGCGCTAAGTCCTCCAATTGCAACCACGACGAAACTTATAAGTGTTGAGGCTCGTCTGCCAAATCTGTAAATAACAATCAGAAATATATACACTTAACGAAACTAGGAAATATTCTCCTCTAATTTTATGCTTTTGAACCGATTACTTATTTATCCGTGATAATAATATTTGATAATTTTATATTAAAAGTTATCAAAATCTAATTTCATACTTTCCAATGACAGACTACTATTTTAAGATTCCTTAATTTTATTTTTGGTTACAATTCCGACATTGTCAGAGCTGGTTAAAGGAAAGCATAGTCTAATATAAAATATTCCGCCGAAAATAACGGAAATAAGCTCGGCATGGTGTTACTTTTTCTTCTTCTAGAATCGTTTGTTTTAATTGTTAAAACAAATGATCACTTATATTTTTTTTAATATAATCAATAATATCATTTCCATTTTATATTGACTTTTGGGACTTATTTTAGCTTTATGTAATTATGTGAAATTCGTCTGAAATTGAAAGCTACCAGTGGAGAAAACACAAATTAAAATATTCAACTTAATTTTGAGGAAATTTCATTTAAATTGGTATTTACCCACATAATAGAAAGAAACTTTGTTTCTTTGTTGTGTAAGATGTGTGAACTTTTAAAAGATTATTCTCGCTCGTGGCTACGCCGCTCGTGAGAATAACGTTTTTAAAGCTCGCTCGATGAAATAAAATCTCATTTATATATATCTTACATACAAACAAACAAATATCCTCCAAATAATGTCTTAAGCACAGTAATGTTTATTTAATTAATCTATATAAAATACCGATAGGTTTTGAATGTACAAAAACAGTACAACAGGAAGAAAGAAAAAATAAAATAAGTGTCTTGGAATAATTAATATGTAATATAAAATTTAATATGTTAAACATATAGAAGAGATGGACTCAACATGTTGATGCATGTTGATACCTTTGCTGAATATTTGTTTAGAAATTACGTGCTGCCATGTTAGTGTTACCTGTTCTGCAGCCAAATTGCAATTCCTTTTGTTGGAATGCTCGTTAGACTAAATAAGAAGTAGTTAAGGTAAATGTTTCCAGACAGGGTCTGTATTCCAAATGATATACCATACGACACCACACCAAGAGCAATCCTGCCATTTTAATGATATAAGTTATGTGTAACAATGCGATAAAATGACGCAAAATGCAATTATATAATTTTGCCTATTAGGATTTATGTACACATAAAAATTCGCTTTTCAAGTAAAATATTGAGCACAGTCACTTATATGTATGTCGTGTGTTGTATTTTAATATAACCATCAATGATATTCTGAAATCACAGTGAAAACTAATTATAACATTATTTTAAACTACCAAACCAATTATCAGAGACAAGACATTTTACCAATGACTAAAATGCGTACCCTTTTTAAATAACCTTCACTCAAAATAAGATTGAATTTTACATATCAAAATACACTCACCAGTTCAGCATTAGAAGAAATGAAACTCTTATAAGATATTTAGATTTGAACAAGTGTATGAATGTATATTTTTTATTTTGATCTTCTTCCTCGTGAACGACCGCATTAAAGACAAACTCCTGCTGATTGTTAAATCTCGCAATATTACTAATAATATTTTTTGCCTTTTCTTGCTTGTCGTGTGCTAAATACCATCTGAAACTCTCCGGAATAATGCTGCAAAACATAAAGAGTGAATAAAGTTTTTAATTAATGATTAACTTAATGTCCATTTAATGCTAAAAAGTAACACCACAAGTCGTATTTTTTTATGATACAATAAAACATAACTGTGTTAAAAGTGATTAAGAAGTTATAATATTTTATCAATACAATCTGAATTAAATCTAGAAATCTATACTAATTTATAGTTCGTGTTCATTAAGTACGCACATATACAAGCTTTCTAGCTTCTCATAGGAATTTAAGCGAAACATGAAAACAATCAGTGAATATAAAGTGAAGATATCAATCAAAAAAATAATGAGAGAATTCAACTTCAATACTAATTTTCACAAAAGTGATCCGATATAATAAAAAACTTTTGACTTACAACCAAGTCAGTAAGCAAGGCACTGCCATTATTGCAGTGACCAGTTGAAAATATCGCCAATCATGCAGAAGCCAGGCAACCAAAGCATAGAGACATCCTTGAATTGGCCAAGAAGGAAACCCAACAACCCATGCACGCCATTTTGAAAGAGTGAATTCGGACAGAATGCAGTATTGTGTTGTTAAGAAAAATCCTCCGCCAAAACCAGCGAAAAACATGCAAACCGCATACATCTGCCATGTTGTTGAAAAGTAACCAACCACGTGTGTCAATAGAAGAAGCCATATTGAGGCAAAGAATGGTGGTCTCCGTCCAAATAAATCAGCTAGTTGACCGGATATTACATTGCCTGCCAGCACGCCGGCTATTTGTATAGAATTTATTGTACTAGGAATAAAATCTTTGTCACATACAAGTTCGAACTGAAACAAATGCGTTTTCATTTTATATGTTACTAGTATTATATTAGTCAATTGAGCATGCAGTAATATTTATAATTAACATATTCAATAAAATATTTCTTCTGTTTAAAATCATAAGGTATATAATTGATATGTTAATAAAATCTTGCTTAGTTTCACACAACTTTAAAAAAAATGAATATAAAAATGAATTAAACAGACAAGAACAATATTTTGGTTTATGATTTTATAATAATAATAATAATAATAATAATAATAATAATATGTTAATGACTTTTACAATAGGTACATCATCATAAAAAATGTATACATCTACAATTTACAATATCAAATATAATGTTACAGTGAGATATCAATATTGCATTTAATAACAATTACTTTCGGACGATTAAAACTATGATTTTTTTTAAATTACTTAATAATAGGTAAATTAAGTTCTAAGAGATAGTACAAGTTTAACAGAAAGAGGTATTTTTAAATCAATTTGTTTGTTGGAGGTTAAACATAGTTATAAGGTTCGATATGTTTTTGTAGGTTTATATTTTACCTTTATGAAAGTTATATTATATATTTGATTACCTCACGAGGAAAGGTGTTGAATCCACTGTCAAATACGATGTTTTCACATTTTGTTTTATTTATCCCACTATAGCATTGTTCTTTTCTGTATATTACCGATCCGTTTGCAAAGTCTGTAGTAGATGTTAAATTGTTTTGTATAAAGTCTTCCACGCAGTACCACGTCGGCGTCTTGCTTCCGATGACGAGGTTAGAAAAAGCAAAGCAGACGACCGTTTTAATGAGATGTATGACGATAGACATGCGGATTTGATATCGTCCACAGCCTCCGGTCTGTTCAATTATATCATCCGGGTTCATCCCATTGTTAGTTTTTATCTCTTTCTCCTCCATTGTTTTTTTTTATCTCAGTGAACATGAAACCAATAAGAATAACTGCAATGAATAAGAATTATAAGGCAATAAACGAAAGTAAATAAACGACTCATAAGTGTCATTATTCAACGAAAGAAATAAAAAAAATCACATTGATTAGCTAGAAATTAATGACCACTTCTTAACTTCTTAAATGATGAGCTGCAATTTACTCATTCTGACTAAAATCAGAATAAGACATTTAGTAGTAGATCTGAACTTTAGTCAGTTTGACACGTTTCTGAAACTGAAAAATGATGTATAACAACAAAATATTTCAGGAATAATCTGCTTATCGCATTCAAAACAGGTACGGAGGAAACCTTAATTTATTTATTTCCAATAATTATTAATTAATATTTAAATAAAACTGTTTAAAGGTTAATAAACAAACGTTTCTTACCATATAATTAAAATGCACACTTCATGAATAAGCACAGTTTAAGGACATGATACTCATTTGGTCATTTAACTGTCATGTTCCATTATTTGACCATGATGGACTGTTTAATATGTAAATAAATCCGATAAACATATTTGTTGACGATTATTTACATTTATAGCATAGTGACCATACCGAAGTTGCTAGAAACGTTGATATTAGTTTATTTTGTTATGCAAGATATTGTTATTATTCGCATGTCACTTTTGGGTTGAACAGCATAAACTTCTCTGTGCGAGTTCGTGAACTTTATCATTTGAGGAACTAAAATATTCAAATAATATTCATTATCGCAAACTAAATTTAGGCGTAAGTTGCTATAATAATCTCATAAAATTTAAATTAAATGTATTTTCTTTTAATACTCAACAATAGTTAAAGTAGTTTATAAACCTTCTTATTAACTCTATTAAGTTGAAATAATACTGAAGTTAATGAAATGTGAAATTTCAGCAAGAGGGTGTTTTTTCAATCAAGAGATGTGATCAAAAAACAATTAAGAAATAAATATTTACTTTTAAATGGACATATCATCGAGTTTAGAATCGGTGGTATGGTGTTTTTCAGGTGAAATTAAAAATAATAAGCTATTAAACTTTAAGAGGACTCCACAGACGTTTCGTTCTTTTGACATGACAGGACTGAAAATATTTTTCGAGATTAATGCTTCATTTTATGTAGGCTCAAACATTAATAATTTGTGAGAAATATTCAAAATCATTGTAAAGACTGACCAAAAGAGAAAAGCGTTGCAATGTTTATCTTTCAAATCGGACTGAAATAGCACAAAAACCCGATTTTCAATTTATTTTTAGTATATTTCCTAATTATCTTGTGCATGTTTTCCGGTTTTAAGTGTCCCAGTTGATCTATGTAAAAAAAATCAAATTATATGTTTTGAGAATTTTGGACCTCAATGGAGTTCCTTTAAACTGCTGAATTTATAAAATGGACTTTTTTGTTCGTCATTATTTTGGGTATACCAAGAACAAGTCAGTTAACAGTACAGAGCCAGGTCCGAAAGTACGGATATATCTATACTATGATTGCAAAGGCTATTATTTTGCCAGCAAGAAAAGGGTTATTACGGAATGACATAATTGTGTATGTATTGCTATTTGTGGTAAGCGAGAAACATGTAATACAAACAAACGCTTCGGTTTTCACGACAGCAAATAACAGGTTTTGTTATCAATAAAACCAGATAACTACGGTGGCACAAAGGTGACATGTGTGTGTTTTTATTTATGTCGTGCGCACGAGATACAATGTCGTGGCCACGAGTAACTAAGTCGTGGCCGCGAGATACTAAGTCGTGGCCACGAGATACTTAAGTCGTGGCCACGAGATACTATGTCGTGGCCACGAGATAGTTAAGTCTTGCGCACGAGATAAATAACCAATCAGATTAAACGATTTATATGAATTTTCCTAATTAACTGGACATGTGCTATAGTACAAGGATGCCCCTACTTCACTTGCTTGTAAAACAGTCATTTGCAAATACAAGTTATTAACTGGTCAATGATTTTACATTTAGCGTCATTGTGACTCTGATTTTTGATACAATGGCCTCAAAATTAATAGGTGTCATCTACTGATCAGGTGCAATGAGCTTTCTAGGTTATATAAACCATGGCTTATTCCATCTAAACCATTCATCAGGCAAGGATTTTACATGAAGTGTTATGTTTACTTTGACCCTTGGCTTCAAACATCCTTATAGGCTATCTACTGTCCATGGGCATTGTCCCTACCAAATAAAATAAACCAGGACTAATTCCTTCTCAAGTTATCGTACAATCAAGGTTAACAGGCCGTTGTACGTACAAACTGACCAATTCTAAATAGAATTATCCCCACAAAGGGCGATAACTTAGTCGTAGTCAGACTAATGTCTGATTTATGGGCCTTAGAAGGTGACTTTCTAACATAATACTAAAGAATTTATCAAGTTTTAAGTGAACACTACAGTATTTTCAAAGATTAATGTTGCATATAAATCTTTAAACAGAAGTTTGAAAAATTCATAGTGTAATCTGATTGGTTAATTATCTTGTTCCGAACGACTTAGTAACTCGTGGCCACGACTTATAATTAATTATCTCGTGGCCACGACTTAGTAACTCGTGGCCATGACATAGTATCTCGTGGCCACGATTTAATTATCTCGTGGCCACGACTTAGTAACTCGTGGCCACGACATAGTATCTCGTTCCCACGACTTAACTATCTCGTGGCCACGACTTAGTAACTCGTGGCCACGACATAGTATCTTGTGCGCACGAGATAAATATAAACACACACATGTCACCTTTGTGCCACCGAAGATAACAGCGAAGTTCGTACAATGATTTTTTTTTTAAAGTTGTAAGCTTAGTTTAAATGGTAATGTATCGCAGACGATGTTGATATTTTGATACTTCCATTATCTAATCTTTGCCACCTCGAGACCCGGAAAAATGTTTTTTTTGTCTTGATATGATGTGTATAGCTTTATCTCTACATATTGTATTGGATATCTTTTTAATTAGCATATTCGAGGTGTTATACGAGACGGTTGTTTTATTACACTACCTTCTACATATTTAACATTAATTTTGTTTCAATAAACTTAATTTCCTCCGGTAACGCTGATGTAATCTCAGCAAGCGCATATGAATCGTATATTTCCCATTGCAATATATTTCTCTGTTATTCACATATGAGTAGTTTCTGTTTTTGAAGAGACAGAATAAGGAATAGTCTTTTTCCTATCAGTAACATCAAGATGCTTTCTACTGTCTTTTGTTTTTGGTCTTGTCGGTTCTTTTATGTTGATCTCGGGTGATTCTTTGTCTTCGTTGTTATTTTTAACAATGTCATGAATGACAGCATTTTCTAGATCAAACTCTTGCTTTATTCTGTCTTTCAAATTTCTGTCCATTGTTTCAGGTAAGAAAAGTATTCCGACTACACATATAATTGATATTGTCGCGCATGCGTAGTATAAAAGCCCTGGTATGTAGGTATTCTGAAAAAGTGGGAATTGATAAAAATTTAAAGAAATATTGAAAAATATTCGACTTCATTTTCTATATATACATTTATAAATTAATAGCTACTTTATAATATTATACATGTTCAAAGACAGTTAATATGTTTCATAAGATTATTAAAAAGTATTTCAAAAGCAACATTATGGTTAAAAGCATATGTGCCAGAAAAGATATTTTGAAGGATAACTGAAAAGATAAATTGGGTTAATAAAAAAAAATTACCAAATACACCAGCTGAGGGCCAACAATAGCGCCAATGCGACCAGTAACACTCAGCGTACCAAATCCTATATTTCTATATAAAAAAATAACATACATAAATAGTATAAAAAATGTGGAAGGCTTTAATTTATGCTCTAGCAATCTTTTCACAATTTGCATTTAATTAACAAGTTTCGTGAATTCAAAACAATGCTTTGACAATTCTCGTATGAAAATGTTGTGTACGGAATACACTAAGTCTTGCAAAACTTTGTAATATTTCTGGTTGGAATATGAACAATACGAGTGTAGATTCAGTTCTGAATTTATTGTACAAGTTGAATAAAAGTACATTATGCGAACCATGTTACTTTATTCAACAAATTTAAAATGAACCTACACGAATATCACATACCCCCCAAAAAAGACTGTTTAAATTGAAAAAGAATAAGTTTTCATTGACGCGCCTATAGTGTAACGCTAACAATATGCGCGACTTTACGCTTTGTTTGTATAACGCATATGACGTCACGTCAAAATATAGGCACGGCCGTGCATCACCATTTTTATGAAGACGTAAAAGCGGCAGGGGTATGTAATATAAACACGTCACAATTGCATTTAAAACAATACCTGATCACGGTGGGATAAATTTCTATTGTCATCGTTTGAACAGATCCCCATGCAGTTGCGATTCCCATGTTAGAAACAAGCGCGAAAGCATTTGTTAATTCATCTTTGTTAGGTACATCTGAAATGTCAAAAATATCACAATGAAATATGGGAAAGCAATGTTATAACGAAACCAAAAAGTAACACATATTATAGCTATATTTTCATTGATTATATCTTAAAGTTGTGTAATTTTATAAAAAGGAACTATTTCAGACCGTTTAGTTTTAAGAAACCGGCCCGAGATTGGATCAAATAAACAACAAGCATTTTTATATTCTATCTAACATATATTTGATTGCCAAAACTACATCTAAAGATGCCAAATGTAACAGTATATTGTTTGAAGTATCATGCCGGCATGTCTCCAGATAATCGAAAATAGTTCAAGAAAATCAAAATTGAAAAAAAAATGTACTAAGCTTGTTTGAGAAGTAAAAATGATTCAAGATTCAAGTTGTAAGTTATAGCTATATGTTAGTAATAACTGATTGTGCAGTATTTATCACCTGGTCCATATTTCTAATATGTCAATTACGCTGTAAGGTCTAATTCTTGCCGATTTTGACCTCCTTTTGGTTATTCATATCGAGTTTAAGTGTCGTTTGCGATGTGTTAATTGATTTCTTACTTTACTTCACAATATTTTACTTTTAAATCTATTTTCAGGATTTTCATAGAAATTAGCATGAAAAATCTGGAGGCATGCTGCTTTAAGCTTGTGGTTTTCAAATACCTGAAGTTTGAACGATACCGACAACACTTCCTCCTATAGCAACAGTAGAAAAGCATAATATAGAAGTAAATCTTCGTCCAAATCTGAAATTATGTTGATAAAGAAACATACATAATGTTAAAAACTTATAAATGGTTACACTCCGAGTGATAATGTATATGTTATACTAATATAGCATACATGTGTATATTTTTTATCACCAAATGTAAACAACTCATTGTATGTGAATCTTAAGAGTTCTTATTTTACATTCATTGACCTTAAAATGACAAAAATAAGTTGAAGCTAATGCACAGCTTGTCAGCGTGTTACTATTTATGAAAGCTTTCTTTAGTAGCTGATCACTAGTCGCAACACTGATAGGCCGGTCAAGGTCAGTCTTTGCATATTTATATTAAATCCCTGTTACGTGTACTCTACTTTCTTTACTGGACAAATGGAGAAGGTTAAATTGCCTACCTGTTCTGAAGCCAAAGTGCAATAGCCTTACTAGGTATTTCGGTAAGACCAAACAGAAATAAATTAAAGTAGATGTTTCCGGAAAGTGACTGGATTCCGAACGCTATGCCGTATGAAACCAAACCTAGTGCCACCCTATATAAATAAACCTGACACTTGAATAGTGGGTTGCAAGTACATTGTGTTGATATAAACTTTTTTTAAGGGAAACTATTTGTAAGAATCGATTTCTTTTAAACCTTGAAATAAATATGCGGTAACACAAGTATCTCACGATATAATATTAAACAACAATCGTACCATTCTATAAATATATCAATTATTTTTTATCATGAGCTTTGCAATGAAGGCTCTATGTTTTAAATAATAAATATAAACTAAGCCGTTGTGTGGTATAAGCGATCATTTCGTCAACTTTCAAACTCAATTTGAAATGAAACTAAATATTTAACAGCAGTTGATACATAAACTGACTGCAAATGAGGCATCACATTTTGATCTGTTTAAAAATGAAAAACATTTTGGGTATGACATACTAAAGCAATATCATTCTAAAACATAATAAAGTCAGTTGAAAACTCATTTTATTTCTAAACCGTAAGTAGATTGTGTAAATGACGTATAATGCCATGTTAGTTTTTAAGCGCACTCAATAATAATTTTATCTTTGAAATTTTAATAACAGAACTTACCAGTTGGCTGCCAGTAGAAAGGTTACTTTAACCATTTCCTTTGATTTAAACAGATCTAAAAACGTGTATTTCTTATCTTCTTTTGTATCTGGCTTCCTCAACATTTTATCTATATCAAACTCAGTGCGTCTATTAAACTTTGCCACGGCTCTTACAATGACCTCTGCCTTTTCTGGTTTGTCGTGTGCTATGTACCACCGAAAACTCTCCGGTATAACGCTGTTTGAAAATAAATTAAAGCAGTGATAGAGATGTACTTGTAATTTTCTTGCTGAAATATAGATTAAAGACGGTTGAATAAAAGGAACAATATGTTTTAGAAATGAATAACTTTTTATTCTTTTAAAAGGTCAAATGTCAGTTTTATAACGTTTAAATAATGTTTGATGCTTATCACATAGACAATGTATCGCTGATTTTGAAATTTCTTGTAATTAAGGTAGTAAAATATTAACAAAGTAATTATTTGACTTCTATAAAAAAATCTTAATAATTTAAAATGTACTCATTGCCAAAACTCGATAATTCAGTAAATTAGCTTTCAGTAAATTAGCTTATGAGTAACCTTTTGGAAAGTTAATTATAACAGAACGGACACAAGAAAAATTAAAAGAAGTGTATAAATGCAGGTATGGAGCATATAGGCTTTTTAATAAACGTGGCTTTTGTCATGGCATATAATTCGAAAATTTTGAAAATACATTTAAATTTTTCGATCTCTATTTGCGAATTTTGACGTTTATTATCTTCATATAAATGATTGAATTGATTAAATTTCCTTAGTTTTCTTGAATAAAAGAATTGTGCAGTATTATAAATTTGTCCAAAGGATATCTGTAAGTTTGTTGTTTTTTTGTTTGTTTTTTTTTGTTTTGTTTTTTTTTTACTTTTTTTTGACATTGTATATGTTCATATAGCGTGCTTAAATATATTTATTTCCATATACAACATTCTATTTGCAACTATATTGGTTAATTAAACACATTTGTCATGTAAGAGAAGTTTTAGATATATATTAATTCGACTTACCACCATGCCAGAAAACAGGGTATGCCCATTAAAGCTGTCATCAACTGTATATACCGCCAGTCATGAATTAACCAGGCCAGAAGTGAAAACAGACACGACTGAATAGGCCAAGATGGAAAACCTACTATCCAAACACGCCATTTCGCCAAGGTAAACTCGGACAGGAGACAATACTGAGTTGTAAGAAAGAATCCCCCACCTACACCTGTAAAGAACCGTGCAATCGCAAACATTTGCCAGCTTGTAGAGAAAAAGCCAAACAGGTTAAATCCGATCAGTATAACGATAGATGTAAAGAACGGGGGTTTCCTTCCGAATAGATCTGCTATTTGTCCGGCTACAATGTTCCCAACAAGCACACCGGAAATCTGTATCGAGTTAATGATACTCGGTATGTAATCACGATCACAAACGAGATTGAACTGAAAATAAAATTGATGATACATAATGTTATAGTTCATCAAATAATTATACTTATAATGTAAAATATATAGGAAAAACATGTGCAAAGTAACAAAATAAAAATATTATATGCGTATGTGCGTATGTGAAAGATATACATGATATTTAAAAGTGCAGAGTCAGTTTTATTGCGTCTGTTTATAAGTCCAACATCTCTCAAACCCCCAACTCCTGTTCTTACTTTAGCGACTAATTTCTCGAGTAAAGATATTTTAATATCTTACCTCATTAACTATTGTATTAAGACTGCTTTCAAATCCAAAGTTTTGACATTTGGAGTTGTTTCCGTTAACACACGATTTAGACTGGCAATACTGCACGGCAGTGTTGTTTTCATGAACTGTGCATGTCTTTACATCATTTCCGGTGGCGCCATCTGTACACCACCATGGTGGCGCTGCAGATATTATAATCATACCCATGAAGCTGAAGCAGATGATCGTCTTTATCAAATGAACGACGATACTCATGCGAATCTGAAAGCGACCACATCCTCCAAGGTTCTCAATAATTGCATCTGGACTTGCTACCTTGGTATCATTATCTTTGGAAGTATCGATGGTCGTCATTGCGAGTTATGGCTGTATTTTATATTTTATACATTTTCTGGAAAGAATAAGCATTTGATTATTTTTTATATAATATAGAAAATACGTCCTTTTAGCTGATGTTTGTTGTTTTATTTAAACAAATAGATAGAGGTTATTTGTTACGTTCAGTGTAAGATCGGAATATATTTCACCGAGTGAGCGCCAAAAGGTATATTTCACGAGTGGCGCAGCCACGAGTGAAATTTGAACTTTTGGTGTTCACGAGTTGAAATATATTTCTATCTTACACTCAACTAAACACATTTTCTTTTTATTACATGCGATCAAACGTTAAAAGGGACATTTTTACATAGTAATAAATGAATAGCGCGCCAAATAATTATACAACGTGACGTCATTTCCTTAAATAAAGCAGAACATAAACTTTTTTTTTAATGTTAATTTTAACACTACTAAGTGATGGGCTGCAAGTCACCAAATGACAAATAATTGTCAACTGGACCTCAAAAACATGATCTGCCAAGAAAACTGTTTGGATTGACAAATTAAAAGATCTTTCCTCATATATTTACGTAACAGCCTAGGACAACACCTTAGTGACTTGTGCCTTTATGTTTGTCCCCTTCACCGAGTGTTATGGGGCACATTATCATTGTTTTTTTTTATACAAGAGTTTATTCAATATCAACAGAATAATTTTTGATAATATAATAACAGCTCAATTCCTGGATTTTGGGCTCGGTCCCATTTGGAAGCTTAATACAAACGTGAAAGTGATAAAAGATTTTTTTAATTGTCTGGACAATTGTTTTCACAACGGCCCGGGAAGTGAATCCCTTGCTTGCAGGCTCGAATCTGGAGTTTCTGGCCTTCTCTTAACTTAAAGTAAGTTTTTAAAGGGGGGTATAATTTACAATTTTTTTCGGTTTTTGACTTTTTAAAGATGAACACAGGTTTAATTATCTATCGGGTCCTATTTTTTCTTCCCAGGTCCGATACTCGTGCCTGTGCAACATAGGGCTTGGTTGGTACTTGGAAAAAATACTTGAATTTGTAATAATAAGTATTTGCATTTAATATTTTTAAATGCTTATGAATGAAATATTGGTACAAAACGAAGGGACTTCTAAGGCTAGGAGGGGTCACTGGATTTCAAATGATGGTGTCCCTTTAAAAAAAGGATCTCTTAAAATTTAGTCTAGATAGAAACAATATTATTAAAATGTTAGTGTCGACTCCGTCACAGTTAAGTTATTCAACAATAACAACTATACACATCCATAGGTCCTAAAGTGCCTAATAGTGGGCGTAAATTCTAGAAAATGTCGCAAATTAAACTGACAAAAACTATCGCGAAATAACATGGCAAAGGCAAAAACAAAAAATAAATGACGTTTACACTTACCTACACACACAATAAATCTGTAAGGATATAATATGAAAGGTCGTTATACGAAATCGTCGTTTAAAGTTCCGAATTGAAATGAAATATTGTTTTCGTGTACAATTTTACCATTTAACGTTTCAATACACAATTTGATTTTAAGCGGCAGCGGAAATCACGTCTGCGCATGCTCGAAATAATTTTTTCATCAAATGCTGATTTTTATAAATTATTTCTGAATTAATAGTCTAAAAACACATTTTTATATTTAGATTATAAAAATTAAAACCAATATAAAAACTAAACAAATTAATTTCTCGCACCTGCTCAGGCAAGCTAATATTTATTGGGTTGCCCGAATGGGACCCATATGGGTCCCTCATGGCTTGTATATATGTTAATGCTACGATTTTTATAAAAGATAATAGCAATTTATGCCAAGGTGGTCACACTATAGCTCAAAGTAAACAAGTTCTAAAGAAATAAATAAACGAAAAATCGTTTTTCCTTATAGTGCTGTAATATGGGACCCATATGGGTCCAATATGGGCGTACCCAAATGGACTTGCCCATATTGGTCCCATATAGGTCCAATATGGGCATACCCATATGGGCTTGCCTAGATATAGCCCATATGGGTCCCATATATGCATGTTTGCTGGGGGTATAAGAAATAGACTTTTTAAGGGAAACGGTAGATGTCGTAGCCAGAACGCCAAAGATGGATATATTAAAGACTGTTTGGCTGAAAGATTAAGTGTATCACAGAATTTAGGTTTATAAATTTGAATCTGATTTCATGAATATTATAAAAGCATAAGTTCCCCGTTCTTTTAGTTCAGCTTTACCCAAGTGCTCGATACAATATATACTATATATTGCTATGAACATGTCAAATTGTGTATTGTGTCTTACAAAGTCACGGGACGCTTTAATTTTATGGAATTGTTTGCCGTCTCGTCAAGCGTCTCATGATCCAGATCTAGTCCAAGCTTTATCGATGTTTTCACGAATAATACTGATTGACAACCTGTATTTTTGTTTTCTGTCGATCATACTAATTTTTAGCTCCATTTTGAGACCGATTTTAGCTTTTAACTCTCTGTATTTATTGAGATATACGAATTCCAAGTAGTCTTCACCGTTCACCACGATGTACTTCGGGTAGCGAGTGACGTCACAAGTACTGGGTCGCGCGCTCCTATTCTATTTAAGCTACTGGGTTAACCTATCATACTCAGTTGGGCATTAAGTACTTTACCAACCAGTCGTAAGAAATGTACTCCTATCAGGAGGTTTGTACCCAAATATAATTATAAACATTTAACCTGTCACTGATCTGGGATCTTTATACAATTTTATATAACTCTTAAGTTGGTATTATAAACTTAACTTGAACCCATTTTTAGAACTTTACCCAATCTGGACCGGTATTTGACCCAATCTGGAACTTGACCGGATTCTGACTTGACCCAATCTGGTAAATCTATAATTAACTATATACTTGGAACTCGGATATTATATTATAGTACTAGATCTACATATATGTTTCTCTAATAAGCTCAGTTGTTTACTATAGAACAATCTGGTTAAAGCCAGATTAACTAATATTGTATGTTAATATTTCATGAATAAACTATCATGAACCAATAATAAAATCATAGATTGAACTGGAACATGTCTTATTTATCTCTCAGTAGGTAGAACCAAATCTAATTCCCACACATGTTACTTTCCCCTTATTAACGCCTGGCATATATTTAAATCCTGACTAGCTTTAAGCTAACACCTTTTTCTCACTTTTAAGGGGGCGTAACAATATTCAGAATTTTGGTTTTGTTGTTATTCTATAAGTTGATAAAAATAGATCAGTAAAGGTCAAAGGAAATATATTTTCCGCCGGTAAAGTGAAGGGAATTAGGCGGTAAATAATTTCCTTTGGATTGGATAGAGCTTTTGAATGTACCAATCAGAAGTTGTTTTGTTCAATTACGTATGCACGATTTACTGTGCATTATGAATTGTAATTAAAAGTCATTCAGCTTTGGGTATCGATACTTTACAGTAGCATTAATTTTTAACGTGTATTTAACTTGTTGATTAACAAAAGTTCGGGAAAATATGTTTACTAGTAACAATACGAATGCTTACATGTTGATGGTTTTATATATATATTGGTATTAGTTGTTTGAATTGATACTTTATCATTTATATGAAAGTGATGGATGTATTTATTAATAGATTTACTAGTATACTGGTATATGTTTATATATATGTTTGTTGGATTGTAATGGATTGTAAAAGCTTTACCCAAGTGCTCGATACAATATATACTATATATTCAGAATTTTGGTTTTGTTATTGTTCTATAAGTTGATACAAATAGATCAGTAAAGGTCAAAGGAATAAAAGGTGTCATCTACTGATCAGGTGCAATGATCTTTCTAGGTTATATAAACCATGGCTTATTCCTTCTAAACCATTCATCAGACAAGGATTTACATGAAGTATCATGTTTACTTTGATCATCCTTATAGGCTATCTACTGTCCATGGGCATTGTCCCTACCAAATAAAATAAACCAGGACTAATTCCTTCTCAAGATATCGCACAAACAAGGTTAACAGGCCGTTATACGTACAAACTGACCAATTCTAAATAAAATTATCCCAACAAAGGGCGATAATTTTGTCAAAATTAATGTCTGGTTTATGGGTTTATGGGCCTTTGAAGGTGGCTTTCTAACATAATCCTTAAGACATGTATCACGTTTTAAGAGAACACTTCAGTATTTTCAAAGATTTATGTTGGTTAATAATCTCGTTCCCACGACTAAGTAACTCGTGGCCACGACTTAGTAACTCGTGGCCACGACATAGTTTCTCGTGGCCGCGACTTAATTATCTCGTGGGCACGACTTAGTAACTCGTGGCCACGACATAGTATCTCGTTTCCACGACTTAACTATCGCGTGGCCACGACTGAGTAACTCGTGGCCACGACATAGTATCTCGTGTGCACGAGATAAATAAAAACACACACACACATGTCACCTTTGTGCCACCGTAGATAATAGTGAAGTTCTTCAAATGATTTTTTCAAGTTGGAAGCTTAGCTTAAATGGTAACGTATCGCAGACGATGTTTATATTTTAATTACTTCCATTATCTAATCTTTGCCACCTCGAGACCCGGAAAAATGTTGTTGTTTTTTTGTCTTGATATAATGTGCATAACTTTATCACTTTAGATTGTATCAGATATCTTTTTTAATAAGCACAATCCCGGGGTTATACGAAACGGTTGTTTTATTACACTACCTTCTACATAATATTATCTAACATTAATTTTGTTTCAATAAACCTAATTTCTATCCGGTAACGCTGATGTTATTTCAGAAAGCGCATATAAATCGTATATTTCTCATTTCAATATATTTCTCTGTTATTCACATATGAGTAGTTTCTGTTTTTGAAGAGACAAAATAAGGAATAGTCTTTTTCCTATCAGTAACATCAAGATACTTTCTACTGTCTTTTGTAATTGGTCTTGTCGATTCTTTTATGTTGATCTCATGTGACTCTTTGTCTTTGCTGTTATTTTTAACCATATCATTAATGACAGCATTTTCTAGATCAACCTCTTGCTTTATTCTGTCTTTCAAATTTCTGTCCATTGTTTCAGGTAAGAAAAG